TTCCAGCCTCCAGCTGATGTATGTTGAGTATCCAGTAGTCTGCTGAAGTTTCATCTTTTCCACTAGGTCCTCCCAGCTCTTCCGTGATATTGCACTGTACTTTTAGTTATAGAGAATTTGATGATTATAAAAACGTAACCTTGGCTGGGCGTGGTGGCTCATGCCTGTAACCTCAGCATTTTGAGAGGCCAGGTGGGCGGATCACAAGGTCAGGAGATTGAGACCATCCTGACCAACACGGTGAAACACTGTCTCTACTAAAATATAAAAAATTAGCTGGGTGTGGTGGCACGTACCTGTAGTCCCACCTATCCAAGAGACTGAGGCAGGGAAATCACTTGAACCCAGGAGGTGGAGGTTGCAGTGAGCTGAGATCCTGCCACTGCACTCCAGCCTGGCAACAGAATCAGACTCCATCTCAAAAACAAAACAAAACAAAACAAAACAAAAATGTAACTCATTTGAACCCCACTCCGTGTACCAAAAATAATAAATAAATTATTTTAAAATAAAAAGGTAACACAAAGAAAATGTAAATTACCTATATTCCCTGGAATAATTTTCTTCAGTGCTTCTTTTGTTCTTCCTGCCTCTCTCCCCGACCACCTCATCTGTGTACACTTACAGCTTTTTTTTTTTACAGAATTGGAATCCATACTATTTTTAAAAATTGGGTCCTGTTTTTTTCATTTGACATCATGTCATAAATATTTTTCCGTGTTACTTAATATTCTTTGAAAACTCAGTTTTAAATAATAAAATATGACATTGCCCAGCTATATGGTAGTTTATCTAATATATTTCCTGTTTATGGACACTATGGTTAGTACTGATTTTTTTTCTAATTTAAATAACACATAACACTGGCTGGAACAGCTTTAAAAAAATTTTTTTTTCAAGGTTTCTGCTTATTTCCTTGAGACAGATTATTCTTGGAACTATAATTACTGGTCAACTAGGGGCATGAGGTTTCAAAGATTCTTGATATTTTATGCCAGATTGCTTTCAGAAAGGCTGAACTTTGTAACTGGTTATATATAAACGCACACACACGCATGCTACGCAGTGGCTCAATGGCAGATCACTTGAGTTTGAGACCCAGCCTGGGCAACACAGGGAGACACGGTCTCTACCAAAAAAATTTTAAAATTAGCCAGGCATGGTATATGCACCTGTAATTTCAGCTATTCAGGAGGCTGCAGTGGGAGGATCAGTTGAGCCCAGGAAGACAGGGGTGTAGTGAACCATTATTGTGTCACTACACTCCGGCCTGGGTGACAGAGTAAGAGCCCATCTCAACAAAAAACCCCACCACTTTTCTAATTTAGCAGCTCATAGAGGGTATTAATATTTTTAATAAATTTTTTATTAAAACATTTTGAGGGCTACATAGTATATATATATGGGGTACCTGAGATGTTTTGATACAGGTATGCCATGTGAAATGAGCACATCATAGAGAATGGGGTATCTGTCTCCGTAAGCATTTATCCTTTGAGTTACAACCAATCCAGTTACATGCTTTAAGTTATTTTAAAATATACAACTAAGTTATTACTGACTATAGTCACCCTGTTGTGCTATCAATAGTAGGTCTTATTCATTCTTTCTATTTTTCTTTTGTACCCATTAACCATTCCCACTTCTCTCCTACCCCCAGTCATTCATCTCAGCCTCTGGTAACCATCCTTCTACTCTCTATGCCCATGATCTCCATTATTTTGATTTTTAGATCCCATAAATAAGAGAGAACATGTGATGTTTGTCTTTCTGCGCCTGGCTTGTTTCACTTAACATAATGATCTCCAGTTCCATCCATGTTGGTGCAGTATTCATATTTTTAATTACTAGTGAACTTGAACATGTTTTCTATGTTTGTTAGTCCTTAATATCTTTTCTGCTCAGAGGAACCTTTTCATTTATTTTGCCTAGTGTGGAATTGGGGTTTTAGCATGGTTGAGATCAGTTTGTAAGCTTTTTATTTATTAAGGATATCAATCTGTAGCTGCCATATTAATTGCAAAATTTCCCCCTAATTTTTCCTTTTAATTTTTGGCAAATGATATATTTGGAAGGACAAAATCATCTTTACATAATGCTAATAACTATAATGTATTGAATACTTACCATGTCCTGGGCATTGAATAAAACTTTGTACATGGATCACCTCATTTAATCTTTGCTATATTCTTCGTGTAATGCAGCATTTCCTCATATTATAAGATTACATAGTGTCTTATTCCATTTTGTGTTGCTGCAGCAGAATACCACAGACTAGGTAATTTATAAAGAAAAGAAATTTGTTTGGTTTATGGTTTTGGAGGTTGAGAAGTCCAAGAGAATAGTGCCAGGATCTGGCAAGGGCTTTCCTGCTGTGTCATCCCATGGTAGAAGGTAGAAGAAAAAGAGACTGTAAGAGTGAGCCAGAGGTAAGAGGGTGCCAGACTCACTTTTATCAGGAACCCACTCTCTCAATAATGGCATTAATCTATTTATGAAGGCAGAGCTGTCAGGACCTAATTACCTCTTAACAGTCCCACCTCACAATGGCAGTCAAATTTCAACATGAGTTTTGGAGGGAACACTCAAAGCCAGTAAGTAATGAGCTGGGATGTGAATGGATGAACAAAGTCATGTTATGATGTTTTGATTAGAATTTTGAAATATACTTGCCTTGTTGTAAGAAGAGCGTTTAAGCTGGCCAGTGCTATTATGTTTTTTACATTTTGAGTAGGCAATGCAGTAATTTAAAATGTTTCAAAAGAAACTGGCCGAGTGCAGTTTAACTGGCCGGATTCCTGTAACCCCAGCATTTTGGGAGGCCAAAGCAGGCATATCACTTGAGGTCAGGAGTTCAAGACTAGCCTGGCTAACATGGCAAAACCCCATCTCTACTAAAAAATACATAAAGTAGCGGGTTGTGGTGGTGCATGCCTGTAATTCCAGCTTCTCAGGAGGCTGAGGCAGGAGAATTGCTTAAACCTGGGAGGCAGTGAGCTGAGCTTGTGCCACCGTGCTCCAGCCTGGGCGACAGAGTGAGACTCCATCTCAGAAAAAAAAAGAAACCCAGTAAAAGTCTGCCTTCCATCTCTGTTTCCTGTCCACCTATTTCTCATCTTATTCCCTACCTCCACTCCAGATATTCATCTTAATAGTATCTTGTGGCTGGACACAGTGGCTCATGCCTGTAATCTCAGCACTTTGGGAGGCCAATGCAGGCAGATCACTTGAGACCAGGAGTTTGAGACTGGCCTAGCCAACATGGTGAAACCCCATCTTTACTAAAAATACAGGAATTAGCCAGGCATGGTAGTGTGTGCCTGTAATCCCAGAAACTCGGTAGGCTGAGGCACAAGAATTGCTTGAGCCCTGGAGTTCGAGGTTGCAGTGAGCCAAGATTGCCCCAGCCTGGGTCACAGAATGAGACTCTATCTCAAAAAAAAAAAAAAAAAAAAACAAAAACAAACAAAAAAAACCACCAGTTAGAATGGCAGTCATTAAAAAATCTGGACACAACAGATGCTGGAAAGGATGTGGAGAAATAGGAACACTTTTACACTGCTGGTGGGAGTGTAAATTAGTTCAACCATTGTGGAAGACAGTGTGGCGATTCCTCAAGGACCTAGAAATAGAAATTCCATTTGACCCAGCAATCCCATTACTACATATGTATCCGAAGGATTATAAATCGTTCTACTATAAGGACACATGCACACGAATGTTCATTGCAGCACAGTTTACAATAGCAAAGACCTGGAACCAACCCAAATGCCCATCGATGATAGACTGGACAGGGAACATGTGGCACATATACACCATGGAATACTATGCAGCCATCAAAAACCATGAGTTCGTGTCCTTTGTAGGGACATGGATGAACCTGGAAACATCATTCTCAGCAAACTGACACAAGAACAGAAAATCAAACACTGCATGTTCTCACTCATAGGTGGGTGTTGAACAATGAGAACACATGGACACAGGGAGGGGAGCATCACACACTGGGGTCTGCTGAGGGGAAATAGGGGAGGGACAGCAGGGGGTGGGGAGTTAGGGAGAGATAGCACGGGGAGAAATGCCAGATATAGGTGAAGGGGAGGAAGGCAGCAAATCACACTGCCACATGTGTACCTATGCAACAATCTTGCATGTTCTTCACATGTACCCCAAAACCTAAAATGTAATTTAAAAAAATTTTGGCCACCTCAGTGCACAATTAAATCTCACTCAGACAAGGTAAAAAAAAACAAAAAACCAAAAACAACAACAAAAAACCCAACCAAGCAAACAAAAAAATCTTATGTATGCTCCCACGGTTTTTGTATGCAGATAAAAGTAAATATGAATATGTATCCTCTCTCCCTCTCTGCTTATTTTATACACAGAGTTAAGACCAGTCAGTTTAGGTTATTTGCTTTTGCAAGACTTGGCTACTTCTTAGTGTAAAGTAGCTTACAAAGTACATCTCTGATTGAATTAATTATCTCTCATCTTGGAGGGATTCACCATGCAGAGGGTTCAATTTGTTTAGATGGTAATTTTATATTGAAATCAATTTGAGGCCAAAGTCCAGCACTGCCAAGTCTTATGTAACCAGCAGAAGCTGAGCTTTCAACCAGCTGCCATATGTTATGAGGAACAAAGCCAGAGGACCAGTGCAGATGGTTCTCAAGAAATAAGTTATCACTCTCAAAATCTCTAGAAAGACATAGTGTCAAAAGGTTATTATGTGTGGCATGCTTCTTAAGAAAACACCACATCTCCCATGTTAGAGTGATTAGTAAAGCATATACCAAAATAGTTCATTGAAGGTGTTCTCTGGATTGGTCTGGCTTCATGTTTCCTGAGGGTGAAGCTCTGGCGACTGATAGAGGACAAGGGCTGGAGAAGTGTTTGTGTTTCCACTAAGTAAGACTTACAGAGAGGACCTGTGCCTTTCTGGAAGCCACTTATCCAGAGCTTACTGATTTTGCTTTGTCTTTATTTCCCACCCCCTCCAGGTACTGGCGGAGGACATTGGGCATGCAAGTCCGCTATGTTCACCATGAAGACTATCAGTTCTGTTATTCCTTCCGGGGCAGGCCTGGCCACAAACCCTCCATCCTCATGCTCCACGGATTCTCTGCACACAAGGATATGTGGCTCAGTGTGGTCAAGGTGCAATGCTAGATTCTTCTCTCTTATAAGAAAAGGGAGTTGGGTGTGGTGGCTCATGCCTGTAATCCCAGCACTTTGGGAGGCTAAGGCAGGAGGATTACTTGAGTTCAGGAGTTTGAAACCAGCCTGGACAACATAAAGAAACCCTGTCTCTACAAAAAATAAAAAAATTAGCCAAGTGTGGTGGAGCAGGCCTGTAGTGCCAGCTACTCAGGAGGCTGAGGTGGAAAGATTGCTTGAACCTGGGGGGGTCAAGGCTTCAGTGAGCCATGATTGTGCCCCTACACTTAGCCTGGGCAACAGAATAAGACTTTGTCTCAAAAAAAAAAAAAAAAAAAAAAGGAAGAGGGGAAAAAAGGGTTTCCACTAGGACATGATGTCATCAACAGTGGTGGAAAGCAAAGGGAACTCAGAACTGTGATGGTTCAAGTCATATGAGAACTAATGCAGTGTGGCCTGGCACAGTGCCTCACACCTGTAATCCCCACTTTGGGAGGCCAAGGCGGGCAGATCACTTGAGCCCAGGAGTTTGGGACCAGGCTGGGCAACATAGGGAGATTCTGTCTCTACAAAAAAATACAAAAAACTTAGCTAGGCATGGTGGCATGCACCTGTAATCTCAGCCACTTGGGTGGCTGAGATGGAAGAATCACCTGAGCCTGGGAAGTCAAGGCTGCAGAGCCAAGATCATGCTACTGTACTCTAGCCTGGGAGACAGGAGTGAGACCCTGTCTCATAAACAAACAACAACAACAAAAAGCTAATGCAATATGTTACTCTTTTTTTGTCAGAAAAAAATGTATTGTGGTGAATATTATATATAAAACCTATGGCTTAGAAATCTTTTCACCTCATGGATTATTTCTTTGGGGAGGTTTCTGACACAGCTGTATCTCAGAACTGCTGTGATGATCAGAGCTGGCAGAGGTGGCCTTTTAAAGAGTCATTTGTTTCTTTGTACTCCAGGTTTCTTCACTTCCTTCCCCTCCATCTTCTTCCTTCACTCCTTCTTTGCTTTTTCTTCCCACTCCCTCTTCTACGCTCGTTTTTTTCTTTTCCTTTGCCATTTAGCGAAACAGTCTTGATCTGGCAGCTTTCTGGAAGAGTTCTCCAAGTCACTTTTTGTCTTGGTTTACTTGGGTGTGGCAACGTGCTGCCCTTGGTAAGCATGATCAGCTGTGAAGGTTGGGGCTGGTGGAAGTCTTGGGCAGAAAGCATCCCTGGCTCCCACCTCAGGCAAGACCATACCTGAGGGATCCCAAGTATCATCTCCACCAGGAGGAAAGGACTCGCACAGCCTCTAGTTCCTTGTGTTCTTATTTCCAAATTCCACCATGAGGACAGTCATCTTCATGCCTTGATGAACCCCTTACTTTCTGCCCCCCTCCTCAGATAAGCATCTTTCTTCTAACTGGATGTTCATTTGTTGGTAACTTATGTTTCTCAGTTTCCTGGTTAAAAGTGGTACATATCTAAATGGAAGAAGGTGTTTTAGGATAAGAATAATTTTGAGAATTAGACTTTAATGTAAAAAGAAACCAAACAAACCAGAATTGGGGTGATCAGACGTGATTCTTGGGGAAAACGTTGCTTCTGTTGGCTCTGGAGCTGGCCAGGATATGGGAGAACAGAACCATCCTTTCCAGTTCCAAGTCAGCAGTTGCATGGCTGGAGGAAGTGTGGAAGGGGTGGGGGAAAGGAGGAGGTAGTACATGTCAACTGGTAGGAAGAAACAGCAAGAGACTTAAGCCTGCTGCCCCTACTTTGTCACCTTTTTACAGGCATCTCCTGAGCCTGCTTCCATCTATGTATTAATCTTTGGGGGCCTCTGCTCCCAATGAGGATACTGGCAATGCTTATTCACATTACTGGGGTAAAACACTTAGTGGCCAGACACTTGCAGTGGGACATCAAGGCAGGTGGGCAGATCATGAGGTCAGGCGTTCAAGACCAGCCTGGCCAACATAGTGAAACACCATCTCTACTAAGAATGCAAAAAAAAAAAAAAAAGAAATTAGCCAGGCGTGATGATGTGCACCTGTAATATCAGCTTCTTGGGAGGCTGAGGCAGGAGAATTGCATGAACCTGGGAGGCAGAGGTTTCAGTGAGCCAAGATCATGCCATTGCACTCTAGCCCAGGTGACAATGCAAGATTCCATCTCAATAAAACAAACAAAAAAAGCACTGAGTGGCCAAGACTCATACATCCCCAGGGATGGCTGTCCAGGTCACGTATACATGGGGCAACCTCCCAAGAAAATGGGCAGACATGTTTGGCACACCACATACTGACTCTTTGGGTCTGTGTGTCCTCAGTTCCTTCCAAAGAACCTGCACTTGATCTGCGTGGACATGCCAGGACATGAGGGCACTACCCGTTCCTCCCTGGATGACCTGTCCATAGATGGGCAAGTCAAGAGGATACACCAGGTAAGCAGAAGGCTCCACAAAGGATTGCCCAGATTGCCTTAGCCACTATTGCATGTCCAAGGCTGGAGAGCAGGGAAGAGAGTCCCATGCTACCTCCTGACCCGTCTCTGGTACAGTCTGTCTACAAGTGATTGGAGCCAAATGGCAACCTGATATCTCCAGTTGGCAATGGAGGGCCAGGGCCTATTACAGACTGTTCAACTCTAAGCCTATTGGCAGTTGTTTGTAACGAAATACAATCTGAGCATTTGCTCAACTCTTTGGAAAGGGGTTTAGAATTTCTTAAAACCAGTTCCCTCCCTAGGGATCTACTTTTCTCTTTACCAGCTATGTGATAACAGTCATAGCCCCTCTGCCCAGCTGGGAGGGTGTTCTTCACATTGTAACCTGCTTTAATATCTATTCCTAGCACCTGTTTGAGAATCGAGCTCTAGCCTTCTCTGGCTGGGCCTTCAAGGTCATAGGAATTTATGAGCCATTTCAAAATGTGGTAGCCCATAAGTTTCAGGCTGATCTTAAGTACTTTCCCCAAATGAGGATATTTAATACCTGTTTCCTCCAATAAACTGTTCTTTAAATTAGGCCAGGAACCTTGTCTTTTTGGCTCTTTGCTGTGTTTTTCAACATCTAATCATAGTTTCCTATACATAATAGATAGCCAATAAATATTTTTTAGATGGGTGAATAGTTGGGTGGATGGCTGATTGGATGATCGGATGGAGGGATAGTTGAATAGACAAATGGATGGTCAGATGGACAAGAGAGCTTTAAATTAGCCCTCTAAGTACAGCCCATGGACTCTGTTTAGCTTGTACCTATTTTTGTAAACTAAATTTTATTGGAACACAGCCACACTGATTCATTTATTTAATACATATTGCCTTTGACTGCTTTTGCCTGCAACAGCAGAGTTGAATAGTTGCAACAGATTATATGGCTCTCAAAGAAGAAAATATTTACTCTCTGGACCTTTATAAAGAATTTAATCAGCATGGGCAATATGGTGAAACCTCATCTAAAAAAAAAATTAGCCAGATGTGGTGGTACATGCCTGTAGTTCTAGCTGCTCAGGAGGCTGAACTGGGAGGAGCTCCTGAGCCCCAGAGGTGAAAGCTGCAGTGAACCTTGGTGATCACACCACTGCACTACAGCATGGGCAACAGAGTGAGATCCTGTCTCAGAAAAAGGAAAGAAAGAAAAGTTTGCTGACTCATTAATTAGCGGAATCCCTGTTGATTTTATATTTATAAATGACCTCTCAATCTATTGTGCCAGATAAAGAGAAGTCCATACATGCCACAGTGCTCATCTTATAATAGATCCAGGAGAGTTTCAGACTCTCTTTAAACAGTACTCATTTTCAGTTTTCCATAGGAAGTTCAGGGGGTTTCTATGCTGTAATCACCATTGTCATTGTCTACAGCTGTGTAACCAAGCCACTTTCTCATTTCCCTTCCTAGTTTGTAGAATGCCTCAAGCTGAACAAAAAACCTTTCCACCTGATAGGCACCTCCATGGGTGGCCACGTGGCTGGGGTGTATGCTGCTTACTACCCGTCAGATGTCTCCAGCCTTTGTCTTGTGTGTCCTGCTGGTAAGTTATGAGGCTGAAACATCCCTCCCCAGGGATGAATCCCTGAAGAAACAGGTAGCTAGTCATAGCAACTCTGCTATGACTATTTTTTAGAATCATCTTTTTGATGTATGCTTGAGAGATATGCAGTGTTTTATTGATAACTCTAACCAACCAATAGTTAGATAATCATAATCATAACCAGACTGATTTTGAAAATATAGAACCAGCCTTGTTCCACCAAGATTTTGAGGTGGGGCCAGGCACAGTGGCTCACGTCTGTAATCCCAGCACTTGGGAGGCTGAGGCAGGCAGATCATGAGGTTAAGAGATCAAGACCATCTTGGCCTACATGGTGAAACCCTGTCTCTACTAAAAATACAAAAATTAGCTGGGTGTGGTGGCACACGCCTGTAATCCCAGCTACTCGGGAGGCTGTGATGGAAGAATCGCTTGAACCCAGGAGGTGGAGGTTGTGGTGAGATCAGATTACAGACATGAGCCACTGTACCCAGCCTCTCTCTCCATTTCCCTTTGCTGCTTTATGGGGTATTATTTACACGTACGTAGTAAATTGTCCAAATTTAAATGTGCACCTCAATGACTTTTTACATACACAGTTACTCCAGCCTGGGTGACAGAGCAAGACTCTGTCACACACAAAAAAACAAAAAGTCAAACTTTAGTTTCTCTGTTGTTATATGTAAGTATGTCAATGTGAACTGAAACATATTCTCAGATATTACCATTTGAAGTTGGAGTTTTAAATTTATTTTTCTTCCATGAGTCTTCAAACTTGTGTTTATAATATAAAATAGATGAAAATTGTATTTTTTCCTCTATCTTCCTCTTTTTTTTTTTTTTTTTTGAGACAGAGTCTCAGTCTGTTTCCTGGACGGGACTGCAGTGGTGCAATCATGGCTCACTGTGGCCTCAACCTCCTGAGTTCAAGCAATTCTTGTGCCTCAGCCACCCACCCAAGTAGCTGAGATTACAGGCGTGTGCCACCGTGCCCAGCTAATTTTTTGTATTTTTAGTAGAGGTGGGGTTTTACAGTGTTGGCCAGGTAAACTTGAATTCTGCTGGCCAGGATCCTGTTGGTAGGAATCACTTGAACTCTTGGCCTCAAGTGATCTGCCCACCTCTGCCTCCCAAAGTGCTGGGATCACAGGTGTGAGCCACCATACCCAGCCTCTCTCTCCCTCTGCCTTTGGTGCTTTTTTGGGGTATTATTTACATAGTAAATTATCTAAATTGAAATGTGCATCTCAGTGACTTTTTATGTATGCAGTTACCATCCAGGTCAAGATATTATGCCCATTTTATAAATGGGAACATTGAGGCACAAAGAAATTCATTAATGCCAGAACCACGATAGGATCAAGAGTCCAGACTGCCTGACTCCAGAACCCGAACTGTGATGTTTGGAAGTCCTTGCATATTTACTGCCTCCTTTATGTGACTCATATCCCCTGCTTTCCTCTGTGTGATTCAACTAGAAGCCAGCCATGAGTTGAACAATTAGTGACTTTTACTGAAACGGAACTTAACTAACTTTTAAAATCCTTCTGCTACTCTGAAAGCTAATCAGTTTTGAAATGTTAAGGACATTGAAATTGAAGACAAGCCACCAAAGGGTCTTCTCCTCTCTTTTTCTCAAGTACCATATCTGAAATTATTTGATCTCATCATCAGAAGTTTGAGAATTGAAGGAACAGCATCTATGGAAGGTTTTTAGATTTTAAGTCATTTATGGGAAGTAAAATCTAACTGGCTTTTTCAAGTATAGGTTTGTTTGCTCAGAGAAAACGTTTACATCTGATTTGCAGTTGGAAATTTAAAATTAAGTTTATATGTGAAAATGAAAAAGTAGAAATAAATTCAGGATTATATTCTACCAAGGGTTTTAAAATAAACTTTCCAAAAATTTTGAAATAATTTTAAATTTAAAGAAATATTACAGAGATGGTATAGAGAGCCCCATATAACCTTTACTTAGTTTCCCCATTGTTAATAGCTCACATTACTACAGTAAATTGGTCACAACTAAGAAACCAGCATTGATATATTACTGTTAACTGAACTCCAGGCTTTATTTGGATTTCATTTAGTTTTTCAACTAATGTCCTTCTTCTGTTCTGGGATCCAGTCCAGGATACCACGTGACATTTAACCTAGGGTTAGTTTTAAAGAGAGAGGAAATAGATAGTGTCATCTGTTTCATGGCACCCTGAAGGCCATACATCATACCTGTGTTAGATTTCAAGGGTTTACTGTACATAGATTTATAAAGTGTGGATTTCTGCATCACAACCAATATTATTGATGCTATTGCCTTTCTTTGTAAAATCTAGCTCTTTGCTAGGTTTTGCTGGGTGAGATCGCTCACACCTGTAATCCCAACACTTTGGGAGGCTAAGAGGGGAGGACTGCTTGAGGCTAGGTTTTCAAGACCAGCCTGGGGGAGACCCCATCTCTACAAAAATATAAAATAAAATTAAAAAATCGAACATGTATACATGTTTATTACAGCACTGCTTACAATAGCAAAGACTTGTAACCAACCCAGATGCCCATCAATGATAGACTGGATAAAGAAAATGTGGCGCATATACACCGTGGAATACTATGCAGCCGTTTAAAAAAATGAGTTCATGTCCTTTGCAGGGACATGGATGAGGCTGGAAGCCATCATCCTCAGCAAACTAACACAGGAACAGAAAACCAAGCACTGCATGTTCCCACTCATAAGTGGGAGCTGAACAATGAGAACACGTGGACACAGGGAGGGGAACATCACATACCAGTGCCTGTCAGTGGGTGGGGGTCAAGGGGAGGGAAAGCATTAGGACAAATACCTAATGCATGTGGGGCCTAAAACCTAGATGACAGTTTGATAGGTACAGCAAACCACCATAGCACTCGTATACCTATGTAACAAACCTGCACCTTCTGCACTTGTATCCCAGAACTTAAAGTGAAAAAAAATCTAATCGTTTGACTAAGCTAAATGCCTAGAAGCTTGCTTCATGCTGGAAGTGAAAATGAGTTTTGCCCTTTTGCATAATTCTGTGGACTCTGGTGTCATGCCCTGAGGTGATGGGAGATAATGAGCAATCTCAAAGAGAATCCTTCTCAACAGCAGCCAAGTGCTCTCCTAGAGGCAGAGCGACTCTGGAGAAGGCAGCAGCGTTGCTGCCCTGAAGCAAGGAACAGCTCGGAAGCCTCCCAGTTCCCCTGTGTTTTGTTACTGACCCCAAATAAGAAAGTACCACCTGAGTACCGGCCAAGGGAAGGAGTAGTCATTCGTACCAGCCCTGTTTTTTCTTCCGGTCATGTGTTTCCTCACATTTCCCATCAACAATCAGATGTGCTCAGGCAAGTTGTCTTCAAGGCTAATCCTTCTTAAATTCTATCATACATAGGAATCTCCTGGCAACTTGTGAGAATGCAAATTCTGGTTCAAGAGGCTTAGGGAGCGGGAGCATCTGCAATTCTTGCAGGCTTTCAATGCTCCTGGTCCACGGACCAGTGTGAGTAACTTGTGAGAAGCAAATTCTGGTTCAAGAGGCTCAGGGAGGGGAAGCATCTGCATTTCTTGCAGGCTTTCAATGCTCCTGGTCCACAGACCACAGTGTGAGTAACCAGTCCCTGAAATACGTGGAAGGATTTTTTGTGTGTGTTTCTCAGTGTGGTTTTGATTTGAGCAAGGATGGCAGTACCAACAAAAAAGAAATTTACTCATGAAAGAAACCTTAAATATATTAACTCAGGGCTTCTACTGGAAGTTCCCTATATAAAATGGGGTTGGTAAGAAGGTGGATGTATTGTCAAACCATTTGGGTTTGAATCTCACAGGCCTGCAGTACTCAACTGATAATCAGTTCATACAACGGCTCAAAGAACTGCAGGACTCTGCCGCCGTGGAGAAGATTCCCTTGATCCCGTCTACCCCAGAAGAGATGAGCGAAATGCTTCAGCTCTGCTCCTATGTCCGCTTCAAGGTGCCCCAGCAGGTAATGTGGTTGCAACAGTGACACAACTACCCTCCCCAGAGGCTTGGGGGCGAGTGCCAGTTTCCTCCACATATTCCCTCCTTTACCTACTCATTGACTCCTCCTTGTCCTCTTCAGAAGTGTCTCTGCAGTCCCTGTGACATGCCAGGCACTGTGCTGGCACAGTGGTCAATAAAGACAAGAAGCTCCCTGGGCAGGCATGGTCCAGTGGGGGAGGTAGACAATGACAAGCAAACAATTACCAGTGGTCATGAGTTTTATAGAGGAAATGAAGATGGTGTAGTGATTGAATAGGAAGGCAGGGGTGGCTTTGATAAGCCTCTTTGAGGAACAGCATAGACAGAGGTGGAAAAACATGTATATTCAAGATGAAGGAGGCTGGAATGGCTGGAGCCCCAAGAATAAGAGAAGGGTCGAGATGGAGTTAGAAAGGGAGGCAGGGGCTAATTCAGAGACACTCAATTGAAAAAAAATCTTAGGACTTCTTTACACTCTTAAAAATTATTGAGGAACCCAAAGGGTTTTTATTTATGGGGGTTATATTTACTATTAATATTTACCATATTAGAAATGAAAACTCATGCCAGGTGTGGTGGTTCATGCCTATAATCCCAGCACTTTGGGAGGCCAAGATGGCAGGATCGCTTGAGGCTAGGAGTTCAAGACCAGCCTGGTCAATGTAGCAAGACCCCATCTCTATTTAAATACAAATAAAATAAATGAAAACTCAGAAGATTTTAAAATGTACAAGCACTCATTCCAGTAGCCAGGAGCAAGGACATCATCCCACATCATATAGGCTCTGAAAAACTGTACTTTTGAGAGAATGTAAATGAAGAGGCAAGTAACATTGAGTATTGGGAAAGTAGTTTGACCTCCTGGACTCCCAGGAGCCACTTTGAAAAATGTTGGACTAGATCCTGTAGGACCTTATAGCTTATGGAAAGGAGCCAGGGGTTTTTCTAAGTATAGCCCCCCACTGAGGGATTGTAGGAGAGCACAAATAGAACAAAGGAACCCATCTGGGAAGTGTTGGTGCCTTGGAGACGATGGTGGTGTAGACTAGGGTTGCAGCAATGGAGACGAGATTTGAGGAAGAACAGGATGTACAGGCAAATTGGAAATGGGGGCTGGGGAAAGGGGAGGAGTCACTGGTGACTTCCAGCACTTGAGGTCCTGGATGGTTAAAAGTAGTATTTTCCTGGCTGGGCATGATGGCTCACACCTGTATTCTCAGCACTTTCGGAGGCCAAGGCAGGTGGATTGTGTGAGTGCAGGAGTTTGAGACCGGCCTGGGCAAGGTAGCAACACCTCATCTCTACAAAAAAATTTTTTAAAAATTAGCCAAGTGTGGTGGCACACACCTGTAGTTTCAGCTACTCAGGAGGCTGAGGTGAGAGGATCACCTGAGCCCAGGAGGTGGAGGCTGCAGTGAGCCAAGATCTTGCCACTGTACTCCATCCTGGGCGACAGAGTGAGAACCTGTCTCAAAAAAAAACAAAAACAAACACAGAGATAGTATATTCTGAGGAGGGCAAGGGCAGGTTTGGGGAGTATGCCAAGGGCTCCATTTTTCACTTGTTAAGTTCTGGTTGCCTGTGAGGCCTCCAAGTGCAGAGGTCAAGTTGTAGCTAAGGGAAGCGTGGCCTGAAGCTGTATGTACGTTGGTGCCATCAGCAGACACTAATATTGAAGGTCATGGGTCTGAATGAGGTCATCTAGGGAGATAGTATGAAGAACCAGGAGAGGAGGGTCCAAGGCTGAGGCTTCATGACCCCAAATTATCTCCCTCTGTTGTAGGAGCTTGACCCTGCCTGGGGGTGGACGGGTCCTCCTAGGACTTGAGAAAATGGGTCCTATTCAGAAGTTGTGAACATGATTCAATTAATAGATGTGGCCTGTCCCTCAGGAAACACCCAGAATCATTCTGTGGCCTGTTCCAGCCCTGAAATCCTTTTTAGCTCTGAAGTTGCACTCCTTTCTCTCAGTACTGATCTCTTCCCAGAACAGAGTGGACAAATGGTGTTTTAGAAAACTCCGTGTTTTGAGTTGTCAGGGATATGAAAACACCAAGAGAAAAATAAATGGCAGCTCTAAAAGCCTTTCCTTCCTCGGAGAGAAGGAGTACTCCATGTTTTGAGTTGTCAGGGATATGAAAACACCAAGAGAAAAATAAATGGCAGCTCTAAAAGCCTTTCCTTCCTCGGAGAGAAGGAGTACCCGCACACTCAGCCCACCACGTCATATTGTGTTGTGCTTGTCTGTCTACACATCTGTGGCCTCCGCTAGGGACTTTGTCTTAATTGGCTGTTCTGTCCCCAGACTTTAGCACAGTGCTTGCATGAAGTAGGTCCTAGCTATAGATTGGATGGATTGATGGATGAGCACATGCTTGGATAATGCAGTGATAGAAAATGGATGGGTGGGTAGTTGCAGGATAGATTTTTGCATAAATTGATTATGTGCCAGTGCACAGATGATTTAGGTCTGCAGGATGGAGAGATGGCTGCATGGATGGGAGGATCTCTGGATAATGCAGAGATGGAGGTTGGATGGATTGGTGTATGCAGGAGAGATAGACAAATGCATATGTGGTTCAGGATGGATGGGTGGATTGAGTAGAGGTGGAGGATGGATGGATGCAAGACAAATAGATATGTGTGGGTACGGGATGGATAGCTGAACAAAGAAAATGTCTGATGCTGAGCACAGTGTGGTTATTCAACAAATTGTGATTGTTCTTATCTCCGGGCTGAATGAGTTAGAGTCTAGTGATGCTCCAGAGGGTTGGCTTAGTCCATAGCAGCCATGGCTGGGTCTTCCCCACTTTCAGTCAGTGCACAGGACTCCTGAGAGAGTGCATTGAAGGGGTTCAGACCTGTTTCCAGGTAGAGGAGAGGAGTGGAGGAGTACAGCCACTAATGTGAACCCTGTACTCTACCTCAGGAGTCCTGAGGCAGGAGGAAGAGAAGGACTGTTTCTTCCAGCCACCACTACCTCTTTGGGTCAGTAGCCCAGGTCCAGGAGATCTGGCCTGTCCACATGGGCTGCAGCCCTCAGCAGGAAAGGCAAAGGTGGTGTCAAATGATAAATAAAGGACTGTGGAACCCTCCCCAGAATCTCCTCAATAGTTTATTTCTTTGTTGTTTAATAGACCTATCATCCCCAGTGGCTGAATTTTTTTAATAGAACTTGTTCTACATTTGGATATTACTGGCTAATTACTTTGTATTATGGTCATCCTCATTATGTCTTTCTTTTTTCTTTCTTTCTTTTTTGTTTTTGGCTCTGTCACTCAGGCTGCAGTGCAGTGGCATGATCTTAGCTCACTGCAACCTCCGCCTCCTGGGTTCAAGTGATTGTCCTGCCTCAGCCTCCCCAGTAGATGGGATTACAGCCCTGCACCACCACATCTGGCTAGTTTTTGTCTAGAGATGGGGGTTTCACCATGTTGACCAGGCTGGTCTCGAACTCCCGGCCTCAAGTTATCCACCCACCTCAGCCCCCCAGAGGGCTGGGATTACAGGCGTGAGTCACCGCACCCAGCCCATGCTGTTTATGTCTTAAGTGAAACAGGGAATCTCTCAAGCTAAAGTTGCTGTCAGGCCATCTCAGGTGTCTTTAACATGCTGTAGGGCACCTCCAGTTTCACGATATTACCCAAGTTTCTTTATAATTAAATTTAAAAAAAAACTTCTTGGAAGCCTAACTCCCATTAGACTGTGTGCTGCATCATGGGAATTCAGAGGGCCAGGCTCTAAAGACCTTGACAGTGCAACAAATTGCTGGACCTCATTCTCATTCATTGTCCCAGAGCTATGGGAGGCCTGAGCAAATGAGTCTTCTTTTGCTTTCTAACGCTGGGTTCTTTATCCTTAGATCCTGCAAGGCCTTGTTGATGTCCGCATCCCTCATAACAACTTCTACCGAAAGCGTAAGTAGCCCTGCTTTCAGCTTGGAGCTCTGTGGATGGATGGCTTTTATTTCTTAAATCTCTGACACTATGAATGTCTCCGTGGGCCCCTGAAGAGAGGAAGTAGTGACCTGGACTCAGTGACTATCCCATGACCCTGCAGGGGTGCCAGAGGCACAGTCTAGTACATGCTCAATTTGTTTTCCTTTTCTACAAGTGTTTTTGGAAATCGTCAGTGAGAAGTCCAGATACTCTCTCCATCAGAACATGGACAAGATCAAGGTCCCGACGCAGATCATCTGGGGAAAACAAGACCAGGTATGTAACACATGCCCATGGTGATCTGTGCTTGTCACCAGGGCCTCAGGAAAAACGTCCTTGAGGAAGAGCAAGTGGTTGTTTACGGAGTGAGCTGATAGCTGCTGTCGGGAGAGGGGGAGGCACGTGTGTTGGGTGGCGGTGTTGACAGGGCAGAGTTCTGGGAGTTAAGAGCAACAACATTTGGTCTGGTAAAAGAAAAGGCAATGTTAAATCATTTTTAAAAATCATTTTTATCAAAGCCATGCAGTCACATGGTATAAAAAATCTTCAAAAAGCACCAAAAGGTTTAGAATAATGAAAACTTGGTCTTTTTCACATCCCAAATCCCAGTTTCTATTAATATGAGGCAACTCTTACTGTCTTATATATATTTCTTAGATTTTTTTTTTTTTTTTGAGACAGAGTCTCACTCTGTTGCCCAGGCTGGAGTGCAGTGGTGCAATTTCACCTCACTGCAACCTCTGCCTCCCAGGATCAAGCGATCCTCCTGTCTCAGCCTCCCAAGTCACTGGGATTACAGGTGCACACCACAACACCTGGCTAATTTTTGTATTTTTTTTTTTTTTTTTTTTTTTTAGTAGAGACAGGGTTTCACCATGTTGGCCAGGCTGGTCTTGAGCACCTGATCTCAGGTAATCCACCTGCCTCCGCCTCCCAAAATGCTAGGATTACAGGCGTGAGCCAACATGCTTCGCCTAAATTTTTTAAGCTAGAAGTTGGCAACTGTTTTCTGTAAAGGCCAGATGGTAAATATTGTCAGCTTTGTGGTCCAGTCTCTGTCATAACTGGGCAGAGTTGAGTAACTCTGATGTGATAGTACAAAAGCAGAATAGGCAATATGGAAACAAATCCATGGCTGTGTTCCAGTGAACCTTTATTTATAAAAGCAGGGAGCGAGCCATTCTTCGCCTACTCCTATTCTAAGCACACATGTATTGGATACATATGCCTGCCTATACATATCTAAGCTTTCAAACATGCTAGATACACTGGCATCTACGATGCATATTTGAAAGCTTAGATATGTATAGGCATGCATATGTAAGATATATATATAAGATTATATATGTGCGTTTACATATATATATAAAAGAAGTATGTATCTTGGAAATCATTTCATATCAGCCCATACAGACCTATTCATTCTATTTTTAAAAATATTTTATCTTGAAATAATTTCAAACTTATAGAAAATTTGAAAGAAGGCCAGGCATGGTGGCTCATGCCTATAATGCCAGCACTTTGGGAGGCTAAGGCAGGAGGATCGATTGAGCCCAGTTTGAGACCAACCTGGGCAACACAGTGAGATCCCATCTCTATAAAAAATAAATTTTTTAAAAAGTAGCCAAGCCTGGTGACACACACCTGTAGTCGCAGCTACTCTGGAGGGTGAGGCAGGTGGGTCACTTGAGTCCAGGACCTGAGGTGGCAGTGAGCCATGATTGTTCCACTGCACTCCAGCCTATGTCACATGGCAGGATCCTATCTCAAAAAAAAAACAATGGAGTATACCTGCATACCCTTTACCTAAGTGCATCAATTTTTAACTGGCAGGAGGTCACACTGTGGCCACAAAGACCCACAAGTGCAGGAGTGACCCAGGCAGGAGAGAATGGGGAGGAGCAGCCGGGCTGTGCCCATGGCAAGTATGCAGAGTCAGGGGTAATGGTGTTTTAGATCAGCCAGGCATGGCAAGGATTCACAGCGTGGGTTTGTGGACGTGGAGAGGAGGGGATCTCATATGCTCTCTTCTGCAGCAGCCAGGAACTGAAAGAAGCTTTGTTTATCCCCTGGGCTATGCCAGCAGAGAGTCATTTGATCAGGAATCAGAGCCAGAGCATTGAAGGCCTTTTGTTGTTCTAAAACGGTGATTTGGGGCTCCCAGGAGCCAACAGGGAGAGGCCGTAACCCATCTTCCTGTGGAGACAGTGCAGAATCGAGAGCACTGGCCTTGGAGTCTGAAAGGCTATGTTCCAGCCCTGCTTTTGTCGTTGACCAGCCCATGACCTTGAGCAAGTAACTCAGCCCCTCTAAATTGAGGGTTTCTCTTCTAGTACTGGGGTTATTTTGAGGCTCAAATGAAATAATATATATGAAAGTAATCTTCTAACTGGAAAAAAAGAAATGATTAGGTTAGCTGATAGTAGATTAGATTATTCATGTCCTTTGCCTCTGATGGTGGCCTCAATGCATGGTTCAGAATTTCTTTCCAGACTCAGAAGTCCATGTTGTTCCAGAAAAAGAGCCTGCTATAAATACGATCAGATCCTTCATGTGTTTTGTGGACTGTCCCTGGGATAGATGCCAAATAGCAGAGGCTTCAGGGAATCTTTTATTTCACGGCGTTTTGCCTCCCAAGCTCGCTGGCTCTTTTCCTGCTCTGTCACCAACATTTGGTGTCACAGCACCCGCCCCTACCAGGCCGAATTCAGCCTCCTTCTTCTTTGGACCCCTTTAGGCTGGCTGCTATACCGCACAACTGCAGGGGGAGCCATGTGCATCGTCATCTATGTGAATGATGGATTTGGACAGTATACAACCTGTACAACCGAACATGGTAGCCCTCCCTCAGAGGGTTTCTGCATGCTTCAGTTCATGCATCACACCTCTGTGTTCAGTTCACCAAAGTAGCTATTACTCTTTATGTCCCTTCTCCCTGCCAGCACTGTGCCTGGTATGCAGGAGACCCAGGGTACACAGTGAGTGAGTGAACAAGTGAGAAATTGAGCAAACCAATTAGTGAAGGGATAAACTCACAACTGACCGCCCACACATTTAGCCAGTTAACAGGCATTTATTGAGCACCTAGTATGTGCCTAACACTGTATTAGGCCCTGAGGATACAGTAGGGACCAAGACAGCTAGGATCCCTGCCCTCCAGCAGCTTCTCGTCTATAGTGCATAGCAGGGCTGAGATGAGGCTGAGATGAGAGAGATGTGTCATGCAAGTGCAGCGTCAGGTCCTATCTGTATTTGTGATTTTGATATTCTGTTCATCATGTGTCTTTTGCATTAATGTTTTTTAACATACTGCACTAAAATATTTTTCTCTTGATTGCGGAGTTTTCTGGCACTCAAATTTTGTGCCTTATGCCAGTGTCTCACCTGCCTCACTCTCATCTTGGCCCTGGTGTGAAACAATGTAGGAAAAGATTTTGTTTTTGTTTTTCTTGGTGGGGGGAGTTGTTTGTTTGTTTTGAGACCGGTTCTTGCTCTGTCTCCCAAGCTAGAATGCAGTGGTACAATCACAGCTTACTGCAGTCTTAACCTCCTGAGCTCAAGTGATGCTCCCACCTCTGCCTCCCAAGCAGCTGGGACTACAGGCATGTGCCACCATGCCCTGCAATTTTTTATTTTTTATAGAGATGAGGTCTTACTGTGTTGCTCAGGCTGGTCTTGAACTCTTGGGTTCAAGAGATCTTCCCACCTGGGCCTCCCAGAGTGCTGGGGATTATAGGTGGGAGCCACCACACTAGCCCAGGACAAGTTTTTGACCATCTATATGAATATTCTATCCAGGAAACAGCTAATATGGTTCCCACAGATGTGCATATCTCATCAGGGGCCGTTCTGTAATTGCACTTACCTCTGAGTGGCCATAGGGAATGATGGGTTTGTAATGCTAACCAGCAAACAGTGCCAAAGCCAGGAGCTCATATGGGTATTTTTGCCAGGGAGTTGTAGTTTCTGATCTCTCTGCAGTAGAGATATTTATTTTGGCTGGGCATGGTGGTGCATACCTGTCATCCCAGCTACCTGGGGGGCGCTGAGGTGGGAGGATCACTTGAGCCCAGTGGGTGAAGGCTGAAGTGAGCCATGATGGCATCACTGCACTCCAACCTGGGCAACAGAGCAAGAGCTGTCTCAAAAAAAAAAAAAAACAAAAAAAGACACTCAGTTGGGAGTTTCTACTTGTTCAGGCTGTTTTTACCTGTTGACTACATCTGCATTTCCCCTGGGTGTTTCCACAGTAGCTGGGTGTTATTCCTGCTCAGTGGGTTGCCATGGCAGCCTTAGCTGTGATTGAGTGGCAAGGCAAAGATTTCCAATTCCTTGGCTGGAATTAGCTGTTAAGCTCCCCATTAGCTGTTCCATTTCCTGGTCCAGTGATGCCCTGCAGTGCTCCATTCCTTGACTGAGGCATCCTCTTGCCTTAACTCCCCAGTGGGCAGAAAATCTTGGTTTTAATGATTTGAGTTGGTGAGAATAGAGCAAAGACACAGAAGGCGCTTGAGTTTGGGCTTTTGCAGTTAAGGATAGGGAGGAGGGGGCCCTCTTGTCCGGGATGAATTGAAGGTAAAAGCGACTAAGAGAAGTGAAGTGACTGCAGATCCACTTCTGAGGGCGGATGTTGGAGAAAAAGCTGGAGGTGGATTGGCATAGTAGCTGGGACCCAGAGGAAAATGAAAGGAAATGAGTTGTTTGAAAAGGGTCAGCCCTGGAAAAGTTCTGACTTTCATGTTGGAAAAGCATTCCCCATTATCCACAGACATCAGGGCTGGGAAATACAGGGCTCCAGGGATCCCCAGAGGACCTTCAAAGATATACTCCCAGCCAGGTGTGGCGGCTCACACCTATAATCTCAGCACTTTGGGAGGCCGAGGCAGGTGGATCACCTGAGGTCAGGAGTTTGAGACCAGCCTGGCCAACGTGGCGAAACCCCATCTCTACAAAAATTAGCCAGGCAAGGTGGCAGGCACCTATAATCCCAGCTACTAGGGAGGCTGAGGCAGGAGAATTGGCTGAACCTGGAGGGTGGAGGTTGCAGTGAGCTGAGACCATACCACTTCATTCCAGCCTGGACAAAAGAGTGAAACGCCTCAAAAAAAAAAAAAAAAAGAGATACCCCCAGCTTGTGATAATTAGCTTTCCCCTCTTGGATCTTCCTCATGTTCACCTCCCACAGCTTGGGCTCCCCTAACCAGGCACAGAGCCAGCCTGATCAAGTCACTCACCTTAACACTCCCCCTGGTGGCTGTAGGAACAGCCCCCTCTTCTCTGCCTCTTCTCTCCCCACTGCCCATGTGCTCAGTGTCTCAGCTGTCATGCTCCTTGATGGCTGCTGCACTCGCCATGACCTCCCCCACCCCATGCCATTCCCATGTCTATGAATGCTCCCCTCCTGTCCCCTCTCTACTCTCCTGGGACTCAGGAACAAGATCTTCCATCCACCTTGCCCCTCCCCTGTGCCTCTGGCTTCCCCACCATACCATAACCTCCTCCAGGGCAGGGAATGTGTTTTCTACCTCAGTATTACTGACAGCAGCCCAGCTCCTGGCACAGAGTTGCAGAATGAAATAGGAAGCATCATGGTCACTTTCATTCAGAGAGCCACAAGCCCCAACACCAAAGGGACTTGGTCCTAAAATTCACATCCTCCTGCCCCGCTGACCCCTCCAGGCCTTGGTGGAAGTTCTGTCCATGGAGTGCACATGTGGGTGTCTGAATCTTTGCGTATCATCCAGCTCCCTCTCTTGCCCGGCAGGTGCTAGATGTGTCTGGGGCGGACATGTTGGCCAAGTCAATTGCCAATTGCCAGGTGGAGCTTCTGGAAAACTGTGGGCACTCGGTAGTGATGGAGAGACCCAGGAAGACAGCCAAGCTCATCGTCGACTTTTTAGCTTCTGTGCACAACACAGACAACAACAAGAAGCTGGACTGAGGCCCTGACTGCAGCCTGTATTCGACACACAGCACCTGCTCCCATCCCCCAAATCTGACGCAGCCACCACTCTCAGGGATCCTGCCCCAAATGCGGTCGGAGCGCCAGTGACCCTGAGGAAGCCAGTCCCTTATCCCTGGTATCCACGGTTCCCCAGAGCTTTGGGACCATGAGAAAACCTCCAAGATCTTTTTCACAAAATAGAAGAAACTCATATGGAACAAAAGAAGAAACCCCAGCCATAAAATCTACCATGAAGTCTTCAAGTTCATGTTACTGACAAGCTTGTGCAAAGTAGCCACTTGGACCATAATGAAATCGAGGACATTTTCTTTGCGACATTCCTTATAGACGGAGACCCAAGATATTTGTGTTGCTTCAGGTGTATTCCCTTGCATGGGCAGTGGCTTTTATAGGAGCATTAGTCCTCATTCGCTGAACCCTGTCGTTTAGGTCGAATTTAAGTTTTACATAGAGACCCATGTATGACTGCAGCCCATTGGCTGCAAGACCAGGGAGTAAAGTGGCGAGTGGAAGGAAATGTTTACATGCATGGAGGGGCATTGTTCCAGCCCTCGGAGCGGCCAGAGCAACAGAGCACATGGGTGTGTGGTTCATTCAGCACCCATGAAGTCAGATATGTTTGGAGTGAACCCGCAACAGTCGCAGAATGAACGCCTAGCAGGGAAAGTTTCCTAGGAATAATTTATTATTAACAAAATAGGACTAATAAAGCAATAATGTTCTAGACATCTGTCTAAGTAATCAGACTCAGGTTCCACACACAAGCAACAGCTCGTGGGCCTCTTTTCTATTTCGGTGTGCTACTGAGAACCCCTGGATGTAAAATACTAGTTCGTTAATGAATTCTGTGAATTCTGTGAACAGTAACGTGATTGAAAATAAGTCTAAGCAGCTGTAAAAGTGACCACAGTGACATGAAATAAATTTAATAAGTTTAGATCAGCAACATGCACGTGGTTTCTATTTGTGAACTCCTAATTAGGCGCAATGTTGGCAGAGTTTCTGTTAACTTTAAAATGTGTTTTTTAAAGTAAGCCTTTTTCGACAGGCTTTGGAAGTCTTTGCATGGATAATTTATTAGTTTTAGGGAATCATGTTTGCAATTTTTATTCAGTTGAAATTGTATATCTAAGGCCAGGGACAGTGGCTCATGCCTGTAATCCCAGTACTTTGGGAGGTCGAGGTGGGTGGATTGCTTGAGGCCAGGAGTTTGAGACCAGCCCTGCCATCATGGCAAAACCTTATCTCTACTAAAAATACAAAAATTAGCTGGGCGTGGTGGCACACACCTGTAATCCCAGCTACCTGGGACCCTGAGACATGAGAATCACTTGAACCCAGGAGGTGGAGGTTGTAGTGAGCCAAGATGGCACTATTGCACTCCAGCCTAGGCAACAAGTGAGAAACTCCATCTCAAAAAAAAAAAAAAAAAAACATTCACTGAAATTGTATATCAAAAGCCAAAAGCAAGAGTCCTCAAACTATTCTTTTCGACTCTTCTGTGGCATTTAGGAGCCCTAAACTCCCCAGGCGAGAAGCTTCATTTTTTCCAACTTTTCTTTTTTTTTATAGAAAATCTACAGCCAAGTCATTCTGGGAATAAAATGAGATAACTTTATAGTTTAAATTGGAATTCAGGACAGTGTTTGAATATTTTAGTTTACCAGAAAAGAATGGAACTTGAGCTTAAAACGAAGAAGAAGATACGAAGGTGTGACATCAAGTTGGGATGCAGCTAAAGCAGTGCTCAGAGGGAAATTTATAGACTTCAGTATGCATATTAGAAGAGAAGAGGCTAGGTGGAGTGGCTGACACCTGTAGTTCCAACACCTTGGGAAGCCAAGGCAGGAAGATTGCTTGAGCCCAGGAGTTTGAGACCACCCTAGGCAACATGGCAAGACCCCATCTCTTAAAAAAAAAAAAGAGAAAGAAAAATCAATAAATTAAGCGTCTGTCTCAAGAAACAAGAAAAGAAATAATATCAAAGCCAGAGAAAAATAGAGGGAAGTAATACAGATGAAAACAAAAATCAATGAAGTAGAAAATAAAGTAGATATTAGACATTTTATTTGTTCCAATTTCCTATATTCACTGAGAATTCTGAGCACGGTGGGAGAGGGGTTCAGTGTTGGTGGGCCTAGCTGGTGAGAGATGGTTTCCTCAAGATCACTGAAGAAGCCCGAGACCTGGGATAGTACCTCAGATCAGAAACCGCAGTGGATATAGGAGTTCTTCTGCTCTGGGTTGAATACCAGTTAAAGATAACATCAAAAGCAGTCTCTGAACTGTGCCCACCATGGGGTCATTCAGGCAGGGTGTGTGCCGTTTATCCCAGCCCAGAAGGACAGTAGGCAAGTTCCGCAGCTGGACACAGCTTCCATCTCCTCTGCTGGCACCAGAAAGCATTGACTACAAGCTGTGAGCAGAGAGGATGAGAGTCATTTTTAACTATAAGGTGGGTTTTCAGGTTCTCGCTTGGTGTTGCAATTCTGGCCACACCCAGAAGACCCTGTGCCTCACTTCCTGCTTCTGTGACTATAGCAAGCCTGCTGGTTACTGCCAGCTCTGAGTCCCCTGTGCCACACCCCTCTGGCCCCTATGGTGTGTGCCTTTGATGATGGTAGATTGGGAAGAAGAAAGGACTCATTCATCACCCCCTCCCTGAAAGACTGCGAGGAACTTCTGAAATGACAGTGGAAGGGCCTGGAAATCACAGCTGCAGCTGGGCTCTCATCCCACTGGCTGGAGCTGGGGCCTTCTGGGCTGCTGTAGGCCGACCCTCCTGATGAGGTGTTGAAGAGGGACAGGCAGCACTTAGAACTCAGTTTGCAGTCAGTCTGAGCTCCTTGTCTTGGACAGAGGTAACACTAGGAGTGATTGATGTAACAAATGCATCGGACTGATGGGCTGCCTGTGTAAGTTTGTATCATCATTTGAGCCCCAGTGAGTATTCCCCATCCTAGGGAACCTTACTTATAGCTTTGCCCACAGGAAATTCACAGGAAATTCTTGGGCCAGGCTGGAGGACTAAGTCTTGTAACTATGTGCCAGAGGCTATTCTGAGTCTTTTCATGCAGCCCTGTAGGTGTGACACCATGCCAGTTTTACAGCACAGGGACTGAGGCATGGAGTGGTGAAGTATCTTGCCCAAGGTCACACAGCTTACGAGGAAAGGGAAGCCTGTCGGTACATAACCGAAGGTAACTTATAAAAACAATGCTTTTACCTATTCAGGCAGGAGCTCTCCCGCCTACCTTACCAGTCTGCCTGGGGCTGCATTGGCTCATCCAGACCAGGCCAGTATGTGGCAGCTTCAGCCTTAGATTACTGGGGCCACACCTCCTGGCTTGAGCCCCTGTTGAAGAAGGTGACCCAGTTGTTGATTCATCATAGTTAAGGACTTCCAACTGCCCAGCCTCCTGCCGGACAGGAAACACAACTCACCTGGATTCCCACATCATTCTGCTAAGGACACAGACAGCGACAGCTTGCCCTCCCCACACCAGCCTCTTCAGTAACATGACTGGTGAAGGGCTCACTCACCTTGCTGATCCCCTCTTCTGCCCCCATGCTCTGGAAATGAGTGTTGTTTGTCCCCAGCAATATTCTGCTTTGGGAGAAGTCTCAGCTAAGTCTCACTGTCTCTCTGGGGTCTGACATGGAAAGCAGTTGAGAGATGTGGCCTGGCCGGACATGGTGGCTCACGCCTGTAATCCCAGCACTTTGGGAGGCTGAGGCGGGTGGATCACCTGAGGTCAGGAGTTTGAGACCAGCCTCCTCAACATGGCAAAACCCTTTCTTTACTGAAAATACAAAAAATTTGCTGGGTGTGGTGGTATACACTGATAGTCCCAGCTACTTGAGAGGCTGAGGCACGAGAATCACTTGAACCCGGGAGGTGGAGGCTGCAGAGCCAGGATTGCACCACTGCACTTCAGCCTGGGCAGCACAGCAAGACTCTGTCTCAAAAAAAAAAAAAATAATGTGGCCTGCTCCTAGCTGCCGCTTCAGAAGCCAGCCCTGAGGCTCTGCTGGGGTCTGTTCAGGCATCCTTTAAAGGGATTGCTTACTGGCCAGGGGCTATACCTGCCTTCAGACACATTTTAGGCCTAACATTTATACATAAATGCTGAACTTAGGCCCCCTCATTTACTTTCCAAGCCCTAGATACTGGTGGGTTGCTTAGGTAACTAACATCGTTCCAAAGTGGTGGCTGCAGACTTTAACAGGTGCAGGCCCCAGCCTTCTGCTTTGGAGGAGCCATCACCTTTCAGCTCTCCCAGCATCACTCCTTTAACCATAGACTGGACCTTCTCATCAGCCTTTTCTCCCTCCCTAATCCCAAATTGAGTGCTGTTCTTACAGTTTCTCCCTTTCCTGAAAGAAAAAATCAGAGCATTTTTTGGAGGGGTGGGGCTCATCACAGATAGGGCAGGGGAGATATCTTCAAATTACCTGCCAAGGCCAGGACCAGCAGGTGATAGTCCTGGTTCTGGCTCTTCTGGTGTCCCCAGCTACCCCCGGGCTGTGGGGTCCAGTGTCTGCCCCCTGGGGATGGTACCAACCAGGGTGTGGACTTGGGGTTGCCTGTGCTGGCAGTGGGAGGAGAGTCTTGTGACCATCATCAGCCTAGTCAGGCAAAGGGAAAGGATGAGGATAAGTGACTGCTAGGGTCACCTTTCAGCAGCAGGACAGTCCCTCTCTCTTGGCTCCTGGAGGAAACTTCCCTTCATTGGTTTCTGGATCTTTGGTCTTTAAATCTTCAAGGCAATGAACAGGAATCTGAGGCCATACCTAGGAGGCCAGGACCTGCAGCAGGGGATGGAAGAAGGAAGGGTTCGTAGGGGCAGTAAGCAGGTGACAGTTCCAATGACCAAAGGCCAAAGCTAGCTGGGTTGGGGGGCAGGTGACTTCTGAAGGATAACTGGAAAGGTGGCTGCCGAGACAACCCTTCCCCAAAGCTCTCAGGCCAGACGTGATTCAAATTCAGAAGCGTTCTGACCTGAAAAGGTATCACAGTGTATATACCATGTATGTGATGCCCTCTGCAGGGTCTGGGGCCACCACGCATGACAAATAAATGCCTTCATATTTCCGCCATGCAGTGTATGTCTAGTCCCAGTAAGCGGGACAAAAGCTGTAAGCCCCACCTTAGTTCAGATTAAGCATTGGCGCTAGATGAAGATATTTGGTTTCCAGGGTTTTCTTTTTTGATGTTGTTGTTTTTTTTTTTCAGGATTGCAGATAAGGGATTGGGAGCCTGCTTTCCAGGTCTTGTCTCTTGCCTTAGGGGTAGGCTTAGGAAGCATTTTTTTTCTTCACACGTGGAAGGAGCAGACGGTCCACAGCTCCTTCTTGTGGCCTAACTATGTAAGTAGCAGGTCCTGATTTCAGTGTTACAAACTGATGCTCTAATTATTAGTGTTAACAAAAATGATGCTCTGTCACCTTAAAAGAAATCAAACAAAAAGATTTCTTTAAAAAGGAGAGTTTCCTATACCCTCTTTATGGCCCCACCTTCCCCATCGGGTCAGTCCCTTGGGATTTCTGTGCATTTGCACTCATACATACGGGTAAGCAGTGTGAAACTGGTTGGTTTTGTGGATTTTTAATTAATGTAACACAAATGGGGCTATGCTGGACATTACTGTTGCCCACTCCTCCTCCTGCTCTTTTCCATGGAGCTCTTCTAGGTCCAAACCTACAGATCCCCCAGGTTCCTATAACAGGGATGCAGAGTCCTCCAGAGAAAGCGGGGTGCAAATCATTTTGTAGGGACCTCTTTGAACCCCCAGGAGAAGAACTCTGAATTTGAAGAAAGGATTTAAGAACCCTCCAGAAACAAGCTGCTAAATTACAGGATGGTTATCCCCTCCCCAGATTCTCTCTTCCTGGGGCCCTGGAGCAACAGTCTTTTTTAGGAGAAAGCCATCTAAGATCACTTCC